AAATTGTAAAGTTCTTGAAAATTCCGAAAAAAATTGATTCCCTTGCTGCAACAATCCACAGCAGCCTCTCCCACTAAGTTAAGAGAATGACCTGAACATGGCAAAAATTTTGCCAGCTTATTGAGTTCCGAAATTCTAGTTTTTATGCCTTTATATTCTCCAGTCATATTGCTGGCGTGATCATAAGACTAACTTCTGCAGTTGCTGATTTCCAAGTTCAATCTTTCATCTAAAAAGCCAACGGTTACATTAGCTAAATTTTCCCCTGTGTGATTATCGATGTGGATGTAGTTGACAAATCTTTTGATTGGCTCGTTAGAATTTTAATCACTGTACCTCAAGATCACACATAGTTGATCTTTGTGGCTCACATCGGGTGTCGACTCTACTGATAATCCATAATACTTCGATTTTAGAATATCATCGCTGATTGATTGCAAAACTTTTCTTGCCATCAATACTATTAACTCCTCACATGTAGTCTTTGAGAGGTAGTTTGTTTTTCCAGAACCGTTGTCACCATAATTTTCTATGTGTTTGGCCAAAAAGGATCAAACTGTGCAATCAACTCGAGCAGAACAATAAAATTCTCGCTGCTCTTAGCCCCAAATTTTTCATTTGAACCACTAACAGCTAAGTTTCTTTCAATAAATCTGCAAATTACAGCCGTAACTCTTCTTAGAACCACTCTCCAGTAGTTTTTCTCTTTGCGAATTTCGTTTAGAAGTTGATCCTTTAAAACGTTGTTATTTTGTCTGTGAAAGTCAAAGTCTGCTCAAGAAGCTTTTCTGTGGTCCATAATGAGTTCTCATGGCCTTGAATTGATGCCACAGAATTTTTCAAATTTTAAAATCCCGTTGAAGCTAAATCAAATTTTGAGGCTTCAAAAAGCTTGCAGACAAAACAGAATACACAACCCAATGCTAGTGAATATATGAGCCATTCTCTATTAAACGTCTCACTGTTTACTTTTTCCCCCAACTTTTTCCCCCACAAACAAGCGTTTTGAGCAATATCGATCGCGATCTGGATACGTCATTTTTAGAGGATTTCAAGTCATTATCTGCATTTTGACATGTTGACGGACCGCTCTCTATCCCAAATTGTATATCCTCAGCTGAAAGGTTATCCCAAAGTCCTGGATCACTTTTTCTATTCAATGGCAAATCTTTTTGGATATCCGTCTCCTTATCGCGTTCTGAGTGTTCGTTTAAAGTATGAGCCGCCTCGATTGAGTGCTCTAAAACATCCGATAAATTAGCTTCTTCACTTATGCCAGAGTTTGTAAGATTAGCTGAAGTTGATGAATTAGCATGAGACTGTTTTGAACAGAAAACTATCGAACTTTCGATGTTTCTTCATGTTTTCTTCTATTTCTGCTTTTTCTTTCTTTTTTGCAGCTCCACTTTCATAAGTTCTTAATGAGCTTCTTCCCATTTCTGTTTGAAATTTAAAAAAAATATTTCTGACAAAGAACAAATTTAATTAATTTAATTGTTGACGAGCAGCGATTTCAGTGATAGACAACTACTCTTTATGATTAAAATTAGGTAAAATAACCTACATAGCTAAGCTAACCTGAAACAAAAAAAAGATTTAAACAGAAAGTGACAGAAACGGAAGTGATTAGAAAAAAAAAAGGAGTGCATTTTTTTATTCTATTTTGCACTATTATTTTCTAATGAAGATGTTTGAGCATTTTCCAAGAAATGAAAGTTAATATCATTAGCTTAATACTTTTTTTATTTGAAGATTAATTTTTTATCAATACAAATATTGAAATCACTATTAAATAATTTCATTGCAATTCGATTGATATTCAAATTTTGTGTGTGTATACTACTCCCAATTTTGGGGCCCCTTATTTCGCGGGGGACCCTAGGCCACGGCCTAGTCGGCCTGCCTGTCAATCCGGCCTTGGAGATGAGGTATGCTTTAAAGGCAGAGATGAGGTGTGTCTTAGAGGCAGAGATGAGGTGGTCTTGAATAGAAAAAGAATTGAATCAATATTTTTGCAGTTTGCTAATGAAAGGGATTGTCAAAGTTTGTTTAACATATGATGTAACAGCATACTTCTTCAATTTTATTATATACCAGCTAATATACCTGGCGTTGCCCGGGTCTGCCTCCCGATCCCATTGGTATCCCTATCCCGTCGATATCCCGATCCAGATGGGATCCCGATTACGTCGGTATTTCGATCCCGGTGGTATCCTGATCCCATTTGGGTACGGACCCCATTGGGATCCCGATCGCGATGGCATTCCGATCCTGATGGGCTCCCTTTTCCAAATCTGATCCCATATTCCAATGGGATCCCGACCCCTGTAGGATCCCGACCAAATTAAGATCTCAATGAAATACCATTTCCAAGTAGGATACCATTTTCCCCTTTTTCCCCTTTTTTCAGGTGGGATCCCTATCCCGTTAGGATCCCGTTTCCAGGTGGGGTCCTCTTCTCTGATGGGATCCCGTTTGCCATATTTTATCCCGTCGCTCGTTGGGATCATGTTGCCTACGGGAATGTTTTCCGGTGGGATTATGAAATGTATTTTTAAAGAAAACACTCATGAAAGTATAGAACTGAACTAAAATTTTAAGAAGCTTAGATTCCATTATATATCCCCGAAGAGCAGAAGAAAGATGATATTTATATGGCTTTTATAAGGAAAAATGAAATGGGGCCCCTTGCCCAGAGGAAAGGATTTTAGGAGTTAAGTACCCTTCGGTAATTGAATATGAATAATCAAGTGTATGTGTACAAAGATTGGTCAAGATCGCTCTATTCATGTAGGAGTATTTGTTATTAATTGCAAATTCGAGGCCCCGGCCCCCAACGGAATATTTTTCAAAAGTTCAAAATCCCCCATTATTTAATTCTGGATAATGATGGATATATCTGCCAAGTTTGGTCAAGGTCAATCAATCCATGTAAAAACGGATGCGGAACAAACCCACAAACAAATATTCACATATATGTTGTTCGTCCGTCGAAGTCGACAAGGACCATCGAATCATCCGGTTAGGGGCGGGCGGGGGGGGGGGTTGGGATTACGGTGAGCTCTTAGGTGGCTTGTTAGACCGATCCTTGCACGGAATAATCTATGACACCGTGGGCATGGAATAGTTGCTTCAGACGATGACCTAATGTTGCTCTTTCGGACAAGCCTGCGTGTCTCAGCTGTGGTTATTCTCTTAGCTTCATTGGATTTAGCCCCCTTCTTGACAGCAGCTCTCCATCTGGCTCTGTCATGGGCTGTCTGCACCCATTGAGTAGTGTTTATGCTGAAGGCCTTTAGTGCCACTTTCAGTCAGTCTTTGTAACGCTTTCTTTGGCCTCCTTGGGAGCGCTTGCCTATCGTGAGTTCTCCAAAGAATATTTGTTTCGGGAGCCGGTGGTCTGCCATACGGGCTACGTGTCCCATCCAACGGAGCTGAGACTGCATATATATATATAGAATTATGTCATCCTTCCGTCTTGGCTAGACGACGGAGTAGCTATGTAGTCCTACATTTCCACGAGTGGCTCACTATGATATTATATCTAGTGTGGCGAATTACACTTTTCATTTGCTTCAACTGTGGCTTTTTTTTGTGGAAAAAAAGGGTTGCCAATCTCTGCCTAAGACTAATTATCGTTAAAGTTTTCTTTTCTAAGGTGACAATTTCTTGTTTATTACTTCATATAAGAATTATACAAAATCACCTCACAAAATACCTGCAGTTGTTCCATTACTGCTTTGACTTTTCTATGTACATCTCGAGAAACAATCATGATTTTGTCTACGTGCGATCAAATGTTTTTTTTTTTTTTAATTGCTAGAATCTATTTTGAATTTTAAAAAAAACCCCATTAAACTAAAGATCCACTAGAACATATCCACCCATCAGATATCCATTATCCCCAATCCAAACATGACATACACCTTATTTCATTTCATCATCTTAAAAGTGTTTCATCCAGACAACTTTCCTACAGATATTTCCTAATGCGTTCCTGGTATTATCTTCCCTTGCTCTATGCAACACCCTCCTTTCCTCCCTTGCATTAAATCCACACCCAAGCTAAATCCCCTACCAACCCTCTGCCTGCTGCACCCAACCCCCCAAAAACGACCCCCCCCCCATCCCACCACCCAATCTATTTCATCAATCTACCCGGACACCAATTTTTTACCCACCTCTACCTTTTTATCTCCCCTCTCGCCCTTTCAATGCCGTTAATCTCAGGAGATCAATAGGAATATCCAAGCCCGGCTCCCCGAGATGTGCAGCAGGAGCTACCGCGGCATGTACTTGGACCCCTCTGATCCCTGCACTTCCCCCACCCCACCCTTTCCACCTCGCGCGGGGGGGAACTGGTCTGCGACATTTAACTAATGATAGTCGCCCC